TGCCGCGCTCGGGTCAATTCTAGACGGTCGCGTTCTTCTCCGATTTTTTTCTGAGGATCTTCTCATTGGACAATCGGTCAGTGTAAGGGGGCGCAACATCCTTCGGTAAAACTATATTTCTGCAGTCTGTGTGTGTAGGTGTTTTCAAGCATAATTAATGAGAGTAACTATAGAGCATATATTTTCAAAATAATTTCGGTCGTTACAGTATTCCCCTGAGTGAATGGATAATAATGAAATAAGTTGCATCGTAAACTTTCAGTTTATTCATTTAACAGTTCGTCTTTTGGTAACTGAGACAAATGACATTTATTTCTTTCCATAGCTTCGACGGCCATTACCTCCATTACCCCCGCCAACACCTCCAAAGCTGGCACTGCTTCCAACAATTCCGCCGTTGCCACCGCCAAAACCTCCACTACCTGCGACAAAGCCGATATTTCCACCGCCAAAACCGCCATTACCTGCACCAAAACCGCCATTTCCGCCTCCAACACCACTAGTAGCTGCGCCAAAACCGCCATTTCCACCTCCAAATCCACCATTACCTGCGCTGTAACCGCCAGCGCCACCAGTTACACCTCCAAATCCTCCTCCAGCTCCACCTCCGACATTTCCTCCTACACCATGAGCTCCTCCAAATCCGCTTCCGCCACTAACTACAGCGCCTCCATTTCCACCAAATCCGTGGCCGCCATTGAATCCAGCGCCTCCATTTCCCCCGAATCCACCGGCGACTACACCAGCTCCGCCTCCGATTCCTCCGTTTCCGCCGCTGAATCCACCTCCAATGTGGCCTCCTCCACCTCCGCTGTGGCCTCTTTCACCTCCACCTCCGATGTGGCCTCTTCCACCTCCACCTCCGATGTGGCCTCTCCCACCTCCACCTCCACTGTGGCCTCCTCCACCTCCACCTCGTCGACTTCCGTATCCGCCATCAGCCATCGCCACATACACAATCGCCATCAAGGGTACGCTTATCACCTGTAACAAAAAAAAAAAAAAAAATGCTTAGATACAAACAATAAGCAATTTGTAACTTTAAGTCCAAATTTAATGCTTTAGGTTAAAGCACTAAAGAACTAAAGTTTTTGCTATTATCTCAGGATTTATGTAAATGTGATCCAAATGGTTGATGAATTACTTTTGTTAAAAATATTGCTGATGGATAATAAAAAAAATATATATATATATAAAATGTTTACCTATATATATATATATATATATATATATATATATATATATATATATATATATATATATATATATATAGACAGGATAGCTTTACGTAAATGAAAAATCACTGATTATTCCCGTGGAATAAACACTACATTCTCACCATGAGGCTACGATGCATCTTAGCTGTTGTGGTTGACAGAATCTATCGAGGAACATATTGCTCATTATTTTCGTCCTGATATTTATAGTGGGGGACATTTAGCCTCAGGTTACCAGATTGTTATATATTAGCAAGGAAAAATGCTGTGGAATCCAAAGCGAAATAAAAACGGAAAGAAATAAAAGTGGAAAATACGCTTGTCATGGTTGACGGTAAACGAGATTTTACTGGATTTTCTATGTGTACCCTTTTCTTCTCCAGGGAGTTATCAAAATGTCATTTTCTATTTATAGTTCATCCAAGCAAAATGCATTTAAACGTATATATAATTTGTAATTATATTATTTTGTTAATATGACACACACAAACGCATACACACGCGTCTATAGATAGATATGTAAATAGGTAGATATATGGGAATATATATGGACGTATGTGTTCATTTAATAGACAGATAGATAGATAGGGATAATTAGATATATAAATGCATACATATAAATATAATATACATACATACATACATACATATATATATATATATATATATATATATATATAAACAACTGAATATATGTATATATATATATATATATATATATATATATATATATATATATATATATATATATATATATATAAACAACTGAATATATGTATATATATATATATATACATATATATATATATATATATATATATATATATATATATATATGTGTGTGTGTGTGTGTGTGTGTGTGTGTGTGTGTGTGTGTTTGTGTGTATGTGTTTATGTGTGTGTATTTATTTCGTCGTCGACGCTATCTCGTTCATGATAATTGTGTTGTCCCGGTTCTGTTACGGCGGTGAAATATAAGATTTCTTAATCTATTCTCGTACGCAATTTGCGGTTATAGAAACTGCATGTTATTGCTTCTGAAAAAGGGGAGCCCTTCTCTGTTGTCTCCTGTTTTCCATTACTACATACTTTCAAGTACGACTTCAGCTGATCTTTGTCTCTTTGTAAAGGGCGTTCACGCGTTTTTCCAGTGGTCAACTCGCTATACAAGGTGTGGCGTGGAAGTCTGTTTTTTGCATTCAGAGTACGTGTGAGTTTTGGGATAGTCGACTCAGTGCTTTAACAATCAACTCTGTTCATTACACCGATATATGTTACATAATCCATTCATTTCACGTCAAAAATTGCGCTGAAATTTCGTTTGTAGAATCTCTCCATCTCTTAAAATATAGGCGATAGGCTTCACATCCGTATAGTATACTATAAACGACTGCCTGGTAGACCGTGATATTTGTTCTACTTGAGTTTCTGTTAATGAAGACGCGTTTGGCTAGTTTTCCGTGACACATGAACTGATCCCGTTCTTTTCGTCGAAGTCCGACATTGGCAATCCTAGAGCCGGCTGGGCAAGGAATCTGGTCTTCTCAATATTCACCGTTAGACCGAATCGGTTGCAGGCATTCGTGAAATTATTGAATAAGTGACCAAGGGCTCCATTGCCATCCGCGTATTCTAATTCCGAAATTCGTTGTAGACTGTATAAGTCTTGATTAGAACGTAGCATTTAGCAATGAAGCGAAGCCCCTGGGGCTAGAGGTCTCCTGGACCAAGACCAAGATCCAGGATTTTGGGGGCCTACTAGGAGACTTTGTGCAGTCGGCACGTGCTTGCGGTGAAAATATCGAAGTCACTGACAGTTTTATGTACCTCGGTAGTGCAGTTCACGACTCTGGACTGCCAGACCAGGAAGTCAGTAGACGGATTGGCCTGGCAGCAGGGGTCATGAGATCTCTCGACAAGAGTAATTGGAGATGCCGATACCTGTGCAGAAGGACCAAGATACGTGTCTTCAAGGCCCTGATACTGCCAGTTTTACTATAAGGTACACCTGGACGCTATCTTGTGCTTTGGAATCTTGTCTTGATGTCTTTTGTAATAGATCCCTGCGCCGGATCATGGGGTAGAGTTGGTGGGACTATGTGTCCAGCCAACGGTTGCACCGTGAGACCGGTACAGGACCTGTAGGTTCGATTCCCGTAGGATGACCCTGCGCACCAAGTTGGCTCTGTGCGAGACAATCCTGGGTGGAGGAGGCCTGTGGGATGACTGAGAAAGTCGTGGCTTGGGCAGATTGATCAAACCTGTCGTGAGGAGCTAGAGATGGACCGGGCCCTGCCTGGCGGCTCGCCATGAGGGACCGAAGGGTGGATGCGGCTGTGCACCCCTACCGGCGTTAGCTCCCAAATGATGATAATGATGATGAATATTGAACAATCTATCAAGGTGGTGATATATATCAACTTTGGAATTAACAGTGGGGATCAGTTCATATATAACTATAGCAATATATACAAGGAGAAACGTCTTGTTAGACAACAGGTGACCAGAAAATCAACAATAACGCATTTTGGAGAAAATAAATGTCCAGACGTGCTATCATGCTGTGCCCGTGCCATCGAAACAAAATGTCAAACACACATATATATGTGTGTATGCAATGTTTTCTAACATAATCAATGAGAAAGTAACAATAGAGTATTTTTTTTCGAGATGTCACGTAAGTGGATGGGTCATAATAAAATAAGTTGTTTCATAAACATTCAATTTATTCTTTAAACAGTTCGTCCTTTGGTAACAAAGAAAAATGGCTTTTACTTCCTTCCATAGCTTCGACGGCCATTACCTCCATTACCCCCGCCAACACCTCCAAAGCTAGCACTGCTTCCAACAATTCCGCCGTTGCCACCGCCAAAACCTCCATTACCTGCAACAAAGCCGCTATTTCCACCGCCAAAACCGCCATTTCCACTGCCAAAACCGCCATTTCCACTGCCAAAACCGCCATTTCCACCGCTAAAACCACCATTACCTGCGCTGTAACCGCCGGCGCCACCAGTTACACCTCCAAATCCTCCTCCAGCTCCACCATGAGCTCCTCCAAATCCGCTTCCGCCGCTAACTACAGCGCCTCCATTTCCACCAAATCCGTGGCCGCCATTGAATCCAGCGCCTCCATTTCCCCCGAATCCACCAGCGACTGCACCAGCTCCGCCTCCGATTCCTCCGTTTCCCCCGCTGAATCCACCTCCGATGTGGCCTCCTCCACCTCCACCTCCGCTGTGGCCTCTTCCACCTCCACTTCCGATGTGGCCTCCTCCACCTCCACCTCGGCGACTTCCGTATCCTCCATCAGCCATTGCCACATACACAGTCGCCATCAAGGCTACGCTTATCACCTGTAATTTGAACATGTAAAACAATGATTAGATACAAACTAAACACTAAACACCCTACTGCATTTGTAATATTGCATGACATAAACATAATTCAAATGGTTTTCGGATTCCTTTCGTTTTGTTCTAAATCTCTTAATAACCATGCATAAATAGATGCATAGCTAAGAAAAAATAGAGGTATATAGAACAACATTGCATTGAGGATAATGTTACTTATTACGTTGAATAACCACCGCATTCTCACCATGAGACTACGACGCATCTTGGCTATTGTGGTTGACAATCCACCGAGATATACATCGCTCATTTCCTTCGTCGTGATATTTATAGTGGGAGACATTAAGCCTCAGGTTACCAGATTGTTATATATTACTACGGAAGAATGCAGTGGACTAATCCAAACGATGAAAAAAAAAGGGATAAAAGGTCGAAAATACGCTCGTCATGTTGATGGTAAACGAGATTTTGCTTATATTATTACGGGTACCCTCTTCTTCTCATATAAGTAATTACAAAAGGCTATTTTCTATTTATACTTTACCCGAGCGAAATGCTCTTGCACGTTTGAATTCTTGTCAATATGTGAAACACACACACAAATGCATACATATACATACACAAACACATATACACATATATGTGTGTGTGTGTGGGGGGGGGGGGTAAATAAATGGAGAGACCTATAGATACATACATACACATATGTGTGTACATATGTATTCATATATATATTATATATAGAGAGCGATACAAATTTCAATTACTGTATATACTTATGTGTAAATATAATGTACACATATATAAATGTTATATATACACATGTATATATATATAAATAAATATATGTACATGCATATGTACATATGTGTGTGTGTGTGCATGAGTATGGATGTATTTATAAACATGCATATACATAGATAGGTAGATAGATATATATGTGTTCTTTAGTGTACACAAACACGCAAATACCCACCATGCATCCACACACACAAACACACACACACACACACACACACACACACACACACACACACACACACACACGTACACACACACACGCACAAACACATATACATATATATATATATATATATATATATATATATATATATATATATATATATATATATATATAACCATATACATACATATATATATATATATATATAACCATATATATATATATATATATATATATATATATATATATATATATATATGTACGTAGAACAACGAAGGGAAGTACATGAAAATACACGAATATGCCGAAGTCCTTTTCGCCAGGTATACAGTATACCTTGCGGTGGCTATGATAAAGTATACATAAATGAGACAGGACAAGGCCTCCACGAACAACGATTCGACCAACACCGCAGCGCCCTCCGATGTCATGACGAGAGGAGTGCCTTCGCGACGCCGACGGCCATCTCCCCAAGTGGCCCCACGCCTGGTAGAAGCGGCGTTCATCCATTCAGCCAACAACTTCAACACCACAACGAGAAGCTACGAACTAGCCAAGGTCGTCACACGCCTAATTACCGACGTGATCTGTATAGATATAGCTCTATGTGATATCTCTTGTCTTATAAGCTCTGATGAAACAGTAAAGCGAAAAGGCATATCCCCCTTGTTGTTCTGCTTGCAATTTGTTAGATATGAATTCCACATATATATACATACATATGTATATGTATATAAGAACAGATACACGCATACACGCATTTACATATGCATAATACATATAAGTTTATGTATATATACACACATGTATATATATATATATATATATATATATGTATATATATATATATATATATATATATATATATATATTTCTCTTTCTTCCAATATATATACATATATATATATATACATATATATGCATATTTCTCTTTCTTCCAATATATATATATACATATATATATATATATATATATATATATATATATATATACACATATATATATATATACATATATATATATATATATATATATATATATATATATATACATATATATATACATATATATATACATATATATATATATATATATATATATATATATATATATATATATATCTGTTGTCAGCTCTATCTCGGCATTCGCAGTTGCAGGACTTTGTTTTATTTGTCATAGCACGTCACCAGTGGGGTGATCTTCAGCCACCTTGTCCATGTTATATCCTTTTAGCTTTGATTTCAGTTGGTCTTTGTCTAAAGGGCGTCCGCGTGGTCTTTTAAGTAAGATCTGGCGAGAAAGTCTATATCATGGTAGACCATGATATTTGTTTTTCTACTAATGTTTCTGTTGGTGAACAAGCGTTTGGCTAGGTTTCCGTAACACATAAACTGCTCCACGACCTTCTCAGCGATGCATTTTTTGGAGAGGATACTTGGGCATAGACCATAATCTGCCAAGGACTGCATTACCGTTGGTGTATTGAGGTTAAGAAATTTGTTGTAGACTTTATATAACTTGGATTGGAATTTTGCATTATTGAAGTTATCTATCAAGTCGGTATTCAGTGTCAACTGTGGGATTATCAGGGGGAATCAGTTCGTATATAACTATAAAAAGATACATGGAGAAATGTGTTTTATCTACGGATAAAACATTTTCAAGAAAGTCACGGCCAGACATATTATCATACTGTGCCCTTGCCATCGAGACATGTTAAACACAAAAAGACACACAAAAACATATATATGTATGTGCACATTATTTTCAAGTATAATCAATGAGAAAGTAACTATAAACAATTTATTTACGATATATTTTGGTTCATTACTATTGTCACATGAGTGGATGGGATATAATAAAGTAAGCTGTATCATAAACTTTTATTTTTTAAACATTTAGTCCTTTGAGACTAATGTCTATTACTTCCTTCCATAGCTTCGACGGCCATTACCTCCATTACTC